GCCTTAAGACAGAATTCCACTTACAGCTAGTTTTTTAAACAATTTAATTCAATTGTATTTCTACAAATTAACTTATACGGAAGGTTATAACAAATGGACAAATACACATTTGATTTCTTCTTATTATTGTTGAAAACTAAAAAAGGACGATGAAGTTATATTAGTTTCTTTGGATTTGGATAATTAAAATATTAGCTCCCTAGTTTTTCCCCTAAAAATGTTTGAATACAATAGTTTAGCAATTGCATTCAACAAAATTCAATTATAAAATATATAAATAAAGTCAATAGTTTATGTTTTTCATAAAGCAAAATATTCAATATTTTTATGGCATTCTTATCTGTTTATGGCATTTGTGGATAGCCTAATTTTTCCCACTGAAGAACAGGAATTTTATTTCTTCAATATATCAAGGAGAAAAAATTTATAAAATAATATATAAAAACTGGTTCTAAGTTCTTATAAAAAAGTCATGGTTCTAAGTTCTTAATATTATAAAAAAGTCATGAGTAAACGTAAAGTAATAAGATAGTGCGTACTCTAAATTGAAATGTTAGGAATTTGATTAACTCAATTATTTGATTTACGTGGTAAAATAGTTACTTTATATTCGTTTTTTTGTAAACTCTCTGTAAAATCGATACTCTATATTCAGAAATGATAATAACATTATTTTGATGGTATTCTCAATCAATTAAGCTTTAATTGCATCACGTTTTCCAGTCTCGACCGTTAATTTGAAAAGCTGAATACATTTGCATTTTTAAAGTTAAAGGCCATGTTATGATTGGTAGTCATGGCAACGTATATTTTTACCTGAAATAGAAGTTCTAGTATGTCAATTACGAAGCTTTATTTATTTTAATATATATATTTATGTTTTTTACGAGTTATTTATGTTTTAAATACGAGTACGAGTTTAATATTTTGATTTATCTATCTTCATAAGGAAGCAAGTCAATGCGAAATTTTAAATTAATTAGGTCAAAGTTCTTGATTTCTGTTAGGAAACGAATCATCATCATTGACCACAGGCAATACTGTTACCAATTTTTAGATTAAAAAGTAAACATAGTTTTGTAATACGATATAGAGAAATATTTGAAGAAAAGTGCTATCTGATGGTTATATAACAAAACTGTCAAAAAAAGGAAATATACATACACCGCGAAGGAATCTTTGTTTGTTTGACATAGATAATATTCTTAATTTGACTATACAATGCTATCAAGCTAAATTAAGAATGTTTTATGTATAAAAGCTTATACGTAAGCAAGCAAATTTTAATCTCTTTAGCTGTAATTCTCGATATTGACGCATCATCACATCTACCCAATGATGTTACGAACTTTCACTCGAGAGATAAGGCTGTTTCTTTTATATATCAAGGTTGACATCCGCTTGCATTACCGCATACCTCGAATGCTTCAATAAGCGGCATAATTGTGCTATCAATTTTCTAATTCATAGTTAAAGAAGTGATTCTGGAAACGAAAGAAAAATTGCGAAAAATGTAGATTTTTTTGTGATTTGAAGTGTTAAAAAATGAAGTCGTTATCGTAACTTATTTGTTTCTTTTTGTAAAAACTGTTAAACTTTTTAAATCATTCGTCCCCTGCATATAGCATATACGCCAACTTTATAGTTGCACTTGAATAGCTGCCAAAGAAATACACGATCCATTTTGAGAAAACTTTTTTAAACTGTATAAACCACATTATATGTAGAGGATAACGACTTTGTTAGTACGAGCATGTAGATAAATGATAGCATAAATACCATCGATATAATGCAAAATGATATTTTAATATATCAAGCCGTTTTTCGATTGTCGTTAATATATATATATATATATATATATATATATATATATATATATTATGAACATAGAGCACATTCATCATATAATGCAGTGGTCGGGGAACTTTTGGAACCGTTACCCCAAAATGTTTTTGCGCAACCTCTCATTACCCTACAAAAAAAATTAACTAAAAGAGCCTATAATTGGAATCTGTCTTCAACATATTCCTGTATAACCTGCCATAACATTGTTTGTTACTTCTGAACTTTGAAAAAAACTGAAATAAATGGTTTGAAGGAAACAATAAGTAAAAACTATATTCATTATGAATAAATATATGTTTCATGAAAATCCTACTAATACATGAATAAACTAGTGGTGTGTGGTATCATGCGTTAAGGCAAATTGCTGGAACTTTCCGCACCGTGACGAAATTTTCGAGGAATTTTAAATTTTTCCAATTAGATTATTATAAATACTGTAACATTGTATAATATTCATAAGATATATATATATATAAGCTGAATTACAAAATTTAAAAAAATAATTTATTTGAGGAATATAAGTGAGCTTTAGAACTTTAGCTAGAATTAAAATTAAAATCTGAATTATTTTCGATATACAAAGAAAAATTTTTTGAAAAAAAAAATTCAAATATTTTTCTTTCCCAAAAGTAATTGTTTTGTCAACACAAACAGCAAGTTTTTTTTAATCATTCAAATCTGATGCTTAGTTCGCTCAAAAACTGCAATTTTTGTACATTTAGCTCTGTATCTTCGAAATGGCTGGACATGCCTTTGCCAAAACCTAATCACTACTTCTCCCAATCATTACAAATTGAATGTTTTTTGGATCTTTCATATGGGATACTCCGTTCTCTTAAAAATTCGATTTCTATTTTCTGCACTCTTTACTCCGTATCTCCGTAACGGCTGGACCTGCCTTTGCCAAATACTAATCAGCATATCTCCTTATCAATAAGAACCGAATGTTGAATGAACCATTCAAATCAGTTCATCCGTGCGCTCGAAAACGTGAACGAAAAAATGCGGACACACAAACACACATCCATTTTTCCTGGCGTTGCACAATTTCTTCAAAATTTCATGTCTGCTAAATACGCGAAATATGCAACCCATGAAAAGTTTTTAAAATTTTCAGCAAGAATATTTTTTTGAGAAACCATAGAGATTTCAGCTTCATTTTTAAGAGTCCATACTCAATTTAAAATATTTCCGCGAGAGAGCCACCTTACTTCTGTATAATAAAGAAGGTAAGTCTCAGCTTCACTATCCTGACATAGTTCACAAAATAGCCGCGTATTTAGTGCATGTCCCTTGATAAAATTTATAATCTTGATAACATCATTAGTGTGGGTTATTTTCCCTTACAAAAGCTGAAAAACCATAAATATGACCCATCATAGATGGAGCTTAATCCAAAGACAAGAAACTGCAATTTCCCCATTTTAATCTTTGCGCTTTGAAGTATTCGTTTACTTTATTATAAATATCAATTTCACGACATCTGAACTCGAGAAAAAAACAAAACAGCAATTTCTTTTCAAAATTATCTGCACCTTTATAGCAAACATATACCAGTTGTGAATTACTACTGAAATCCGTTGTCTCAAGCTGAATAGCAAAATATTTAGTTTGTTTTATTGCAAAAACTTCACATTTTTTGCTGATGAAGAGATTCATTTCGGTAGTAGGTTTTACTAAAGCTGATTTAAACCAAGCAAGATTTTTAACTTGTTTTAGTGCGAAAACTACTTATTCCTTCACATTTTCTGCTAATGCAGAAATTCTTTCCGATAGTAGGTTTTACTGAAGCTGATTTAGTGCTTTGCAAATATATACTTTTTACCCCCAAAAATTCCACTTTTACCCCATTTGGGGTAATTTACCCCGGTTCCCCGACCACTGATATAATGAATATATTTTTTTGTAAAGTTCCAATCATACACATAGTGTGGTCATTATGAAGCATATTATAGCGAAAAGAACTATAATACTTCATGAAAAATCTGAGCTGTTTTACTGCCAGATGCATTAAACTATTTCTATTACCCCTTTAACAGTTCAAGTATTCTATGAAATGCTCGAATGGCGAAAACTCTTCATAATTTATTTGACCTAATTAATTTTAGGCATATTTCATACCAGCAAATTTGCTAACTTCAATATTTATTTAATTCAGAACATATTATACGTTTTCTATTCATATAGATGGTTGTCTCATCACTCTTGAATATAATAGACATAAATCATTCTGTTTATAAAATATCAAAAATGAAATATGTTGGTCAAACGATGAGTTATTTTTTTAATTTTATCAAAAGTTGATATATCCAGTAGAACTTCGTTAAAACGATTATGCCTAATACGACTGTTTACGCCGGTTCTTACACTTTGAAATATATTGCCCTTACTTGCATAATACGTTTTCTCGCAAAAGACGCTTTTTTAGTTGGGTCCTGAGAAATTGTCTTACTAGGAATAATATTTTTAATTAGTAAAATAAAAACTAAAATAATTATTATATTCTTTGGTTATTTATTTTGTGTTGGCAAATTTGTAGAAAATAATGTTATAAGGAAATATTGTTGCAAGATTATCGCTTTGCGTTATATTTATTATTTTATACCAACATATTCAAAAATTTAATTTAGAATTAACTATCAGCCAATTAGCCAATTAACAAATAACTATTTTGATCTATTTACAAATTATTATAACGCATTTAAATTTTAATTTTGTATATCAAAGCTTTTTTACCCCTGAATTGTGGTCATTATGTTTTCTTTACCTAACAATTGGGTGCTTTGGTATGACTCATATGATACGAATACACTTATTTAGTGTTGTTGTCATTTTATAAACGGACTGTCACATAGGGTTGTATCAAAATAATTCATTAGAAAGTATTACATCGATACATTTTTGCTGCAGGAAGATTTGCTGTTTGTTATTGTTAAAACATTTGTGAGAATAATAAAATAATGATAGATTTATAAAATAAATTTATCTGTTTCAAATAGAATATATTTTAATATTTTTTGTTTGCATTGTTTACATTTTGTAAGCTTGGCAAGCTTTTTGAATCGAAAGCCTTATTCGATATCATTGCATTATATTATTATATAAGTTCAGTTTCAGTTTTACATAAATAATATCTATTATTTCTCCTTTTCCAGGAAGCATGGCCCCAGAGCGCCCCATAACGCCGCCGTGCTTAATGGCTGCACGAAGTGCTCCTTCGAGTCCTGTATCAACAACGCAAAATCATCAACAACTCTACCAGTATCAAATCGCCAGCCCGGACGGCATCAGGATTCACCTGCAAGATTCTTCCGACCAAGAGGAATATAATGGTGTAGAAACTAGGGAAGTGAGAGTAGAGACAAGCCCTGATGATGATCTTACTTCTTTGTCCTGGTTGCACGATAGGAATCTCTTGAAAGGTACAGGTACACAAGGTGCTATAATGGTAATATTGATATTACTGTCTTTTTTTACTAAATGCCAGGTACTGAAAAGTCAGATGTAAAAAGAAATTATTGGTCTTCTAACTTTTACTTTTCTAATAACAAAAACTGTAAATTCCTAATTCTTCTTGGTATACTAAATGCATGTAGTATTTGTATATGTATTAAATTTTAATTATACTTTCAGAAATAAATTTAACCTCCACACCTACCACAAGAACTGTTATACTGCACCAAAATGTAACTCATTCAACAAGAACTTTTCAACATCATAATAGTATGAATAGTAATAATGGAGATGCTAGTAGCACAGGTAATAATTACACAAAATTATATAGTGGATAATATTGTTTAACTTAATAATAATTAATATAATTCAATTTTCAAATCAATTAATTTTGCTATTGAATATATCCATTCACACAAAATGGCAGCAAAAAACTTTTCTACTATTATTACTATATTATTATCTTGATGTCTTTTTATTATATTCTGTTATAAGTATTACCTAAGATAAACTAAACTATGTTGTTTTCGTTATAGGAGAGTCACCAACAAGCGATTTTGAAGATAACAGTTATATTTCTGAAGACAATACAAGAAATTCATCTGATCATAGCATCATAGCCGGAAATAACAATAGTTCTAATAGCAAAAATCACAACCTTGACAATATATATGAATATCAACAGAAACAATTTCACAGAAACAACGGAAATAGCAATAGTGATTACAGGTAAACATCAAAATTTGTTACATTTTAATAAATTAATCAAATCGATTAAGTTTGTACATATTGATTACTATAGTTAGAGTTGATATAATATAGTTAATATAGATAATATAGTTAATATAGTTAATATGACGATATAATTTATTACTACATAAAATATTGAAAGCATTTGCCAATCCTCCTTTTTATTCGAAGTCAATTTAGGCTTTAGGTCATCTTTGTGTTCAACAACACATCTTAATTTAGTCATTTTTTAGTGAACAATTTTTGTTATTTAGAACATATAACAGCTAATATTTGTAATATGTAATAGTTTTATTATGAATTATGTTCTCTATTCAAAATACTAATTTCAAATCAGTGTCATTTTTTACAGTTCAAGCAATCAACATAGTCCAATTCGCACAATAAAACCATCACCAACAAAGAATAAACACCCCAGCAGTTTACCTTATGATCCATTGGTAAGATATATTATATCATACATCACTTTTTGTTTAACTATTCATCATTATTCAATTGCCATGTAAATATTTCTATTCCAGGTTCATACAACCAGCAAACCTCCATATAGCTTTTCCAGCTTAATATTTATGGCCATAGAAGATAGTCAAGCAAAAGCTCTGCCAGTAAAGGAAATTTACATGTGGATTGTGTCACATTTTCCATATTTTCGTGATGCTCCTACTGGATGGAAAAATAGTGTCAGACATAATCTCTCACTGAACAAATGCTTCCAAAAATTGGAGAAAGCTCCAGTAAGTAGGAAAAATAATTAACACATGTATATTTAGTATGGCCTCGATCTAAATTTGAGATGTATATTCAATCTTGAATTTGTTATAATGGTTTTCATTTTCATTTTATTTCAAACTTTCTATTTTTCTGAGCTTTAGCAAAATATAATCAATATAATCATTTTAGAATCTAGGAAAAGGTTCCCTTTGGATGGTAGATGAGCGCTTCCGACCTAATTTATTACAAGCATTGACACGTTCACCATTTCATCCTTGTTCAGCATTAGAGAATATTAACTCTAACCCGCAACACAATTCAAATAATGGTATTGGAACTGCTACTAATGGTAATACTAGACTGACAAGCACAACCGTTGTATCAAATGGAAAACATAGCAATAATAGCCTTACCAATGGAAGCCCAGTAAAAGACGGAAAGGTAAACATGAACGTTGTTATGCCTATTGATAAAATCTCATTTAAGCAAATTGTTAATGGTCAAGCAAAAACAGACTTAATAACTTTGTTTTTTATATATTTGTTGCATTTTATTTTGTCACCTAAAAAAGTTTACCTATAATTCCATTCCATATTAGCAGTTTTATTATTCACAGTATATTTATAAAACATTTAAATAATGACACAAGGAACTTTTACAGTATTTTAAAAATAAAAAGTATATAGTGATAATCTAGGATAAATCTATTATACAAATATCCTGTAAATATGTACAAATTAGGGAATGCAATACCGAATTACCGGTAAACCGCCCGATTTTTCAGCGGTATTTTTACCGGTATTTACCCCAAAAATACCGGTATTTTCGGTATTTTTACCTAAGCGCTATTTGATACATAATACACTAAAGTTTAAATTTCTCGGAACAAATTTATCTTTAAATTCCATAATCGCATAAACAGCTATATCTTCAAGTGAGTCTATAAGATAAACAAATGTCAAATATTATCTCAAATCGTCATTAAACTGAATATTTATTGCTTTACTAAGGGCTTCATATCGTGTTACAATAAATAGAATTGGACTGATAGATAAAAAATGTAACGGTTTTTTAAGTGATATTTGCGCCAAATTATTTTATATCATACAGATTACCCCTGCGTAATCTTTATTTTTTTTTAACTTTATACATAATAATTATGATAATTACTAAATATTTTCGCTTCTTATTACAATTATAAAATATTATTTTTCGAAAACGTTTCGAAGTTTGAAAATACTATAGAAGCATCACATTTATTATTTATCTCGTCAAAGTATCCGGTCTTAAATTAGTGCAGAAAAATTATTTTTTTAAAATATTAGAGATTATGCTAATTTAACACATCGGATACAGTTTATTATAATAATCAGGGCCGGATTTAGAAATTTGGCGCCCCGGGGCACTGATAAAAATGCCGCCCCCATCCCTGAAATTTTACAAAATTTCGAACTTTTTTTTAAAGCAATCGCGCTGCTTCAGCTGCGTAGGGACAAAATATAGAAGCGCGTAAGCGCCGCGTCGCAGTCTAACGGATAAACAATGTTACAGAACGCATATAAATGTAAACAAAATATATACTTATTATTATAATATCTTTAAAATATCTGATAATTTAATGTGCATATGTCTTATGATCACTTTTGTCCGCCAAATGTTTCTTTTTCAAATTTTTTTATTGAATCATCGAAACCGCTAAACCCCCCACAAATTTAAGCAGTTATTTATTCTGTAATTTTTTTTGAATGATATTGGACGCTTTTTTCTCAAAAACTGAATTATCATTTTTGGCATTTTGGCCCGTATCTTCTAAATAGTTGGACCTGCCTTGGCCAATAACTAATCAGCACGTCTCCTTATCAATAGGAATTGAATCATTTAAATCGGTTGATCCGTGTTCTCGAAATCGACTGGAATAATTAAAAAATATTAGATTTGTATTGATGGGGAGACGTGCTGATTAGCTTTTGGCACAGGCAATTACGAAAAATGGTAATTGAGTTTTGATATTTCTTCTCTGAAACAGCTACGCAGCGCGACTGCTTTGCAAAAAGTTCATCAATTTTCAATTTTCGAAAAATTTCAAAATACAAAAAATGTGCTTTAAAAGTCTTTTTTTTTCATTTTTCAAAAATTTTTAAAGCTCTTTATAAAATGTAAATTTCGGTACGGGATGTTTCTGTAATTTGTCTTAAGGCACAATGCCATGAGTCACTAGGTTAAATTTTTTTTCGACGCTATAAGCTTGGAAGTGCAAAAATTCGTCATTTTAAGAGGGCTCGAGAACTGAAAAACATATTTTTGTTAAACTTTCAGCTTGTTTATGGAAATTTATATTAGCCAAATTGCCAAATTTGATAACTTATTAACCAATTTGATAATTTAAGTTTGGAGAGGGAGGCAAGGCAAAATAATAAATTTTAGTTATCGGTTATTTCAACCCAAATTTTGCATTGGAATCGTATTATGTTTTTTTAATTATATTTCTTGAAATAAAAAATGTTCTTAAAAAAAGTTGATTATATTGTATAGAATTTTTTTCTCACTATCCAAATTTTGCCGCCCCCCAAAATTTGCCGCCCTGGGCAGTAGCCCCGATTGCCCCTACTGTAAATCCAGCACTGATAATAATGTAGTATGATCTTTTATGAGTTTTTTGGTCTTTCTTACTCATAAGTTTGTTTTTGGTGAAAAGTACTCAATAGTGATAGTGAATTAATTAAATTGGATATACTTTTGTTAAATTATTATTTAAAAAAATAAACTTTTTGTTTTATTCTATTGTTTCTATTGTTTAGTTGAATATAGTTGTAGTTGTATACACATTTTTTTATATTTGTACTAGTAACTTTTAATTTTGGTTACGCTTGTTTAAGATAATCAAAATACCGGTAATTTACCGGTATTCCGGTTTTAAAATGAAAAATTACCGAAATACCGGTATTGAAATTTCCATCGGTATTGTATTCCCTAGTACAAATGTTATTGAGTCTACTTGATTAAGACAATATTGAGTGGTATTTATAACATGTGTATTAAATAATATTCACATAAATATAAGCGCGATATATGTTTAGGTCTGGTTACTTAATGAACAATAATCAGTTATTCTGAATAACTTTTACTTGCACTTTCTACATATTAATGTCATCTGCTAATACACAATAAAATATGTGTCATTTCCATTAAAATCTTAATTCTTATTACAGAGTTTGTCGCACATGCCAAATCCCGATCTTTTCCCATACCTTTCGCGGCGTTTGGCGGCCGCGGATCAGCCCAATGAAGACAATCAACCGAACAACAGCACACATTATAATAATTCTAGCCAATCGCAAAGGCAGCACACCGAGTATAATCATGACAAGCGAGAAATGTGGACTTCTGAAGAATTTGAAGAAGCAAACGCAGCCGCGGTCATGGTTGCACTCAAACATGGTCGACTTGGATTACCTGGGTAATTATTTTTTACAATTTATTAGTCTTCGTTGAAGATGTCTTATTTTTATTCTATATTTATTCTCTTTATCTGAATTTTACTTGATTAGAGTGATCCAGTTAAAACATCATATTTATCTACTCTATTTTATTTATAATATATATATATATATATATATATATATATATATATATATATTAGAGTGGTCCTTAAAATGGTCATTTTCGAATTTCCTTGCTCCCAGGGACTCCACTGGTTCCAAATAGATAAAACACAATTCTCTGAAAGTTTTAGCTCTTAATATTAACGTTTAAATAGAGCGCAATTCAATCAAAGTTTATATGGAAAGAGCATGGAAAACATTTTGAAAATTTAAAAAAAATGTTTTAGGTATAAATTAGCGACAAATGAATGAGTTTTATTCATTCATTGGTTCGCTAAATTACATGTAAAAAACATTTTTAAAATTTTTGAAAATTTTTGAAAATTTTTGAAAATTTTTGCATGCTGTTTCCATACAAAACTTTGATTGAATTGCGCTCTATTTAAACGTTAATATTAAGAGCTAAAACTTTCAGAGAATTGTTTTTTATCTATTTGGAACCATTTGAGCCCTCGAGAGCAAGGAAATTCAAAAATATCCATATTAAGGACCACCCTGATATATATATATATGTATATATATATATATATATATATATATATGTATATATATATATATATATATATATATATATATTTATAATATTAATAGTTTCTTGGGATACTCGATTTTTTTCTCACTAATCATAAAGACCATGATTATTAAATATGGTAACTTATAATACTGATTCAGTTTGTAATTGTTTTTAAAATTTGGCTAAAAATACAAGATGTCATCTTTGATAATCATGTTGATTCATTAAGAATATAACAAAAAGTACTATAAATATATCTCTGTGTGATGAAATCATTGTCCCAAAGAGTTTATTTGTGTAGTTGTGATGTACATATTGATGCTTGTTGGTAATAGGTCACTGCTTTCGTGTATATACTTTTAACAATAATAATGTAAATCATAAATTCTAACTTCTTGTGCAATTTCCCTATTTGTAAAATGTTCAATTGCTCTAGTGGATGGATGCAAATGAACTTCTTCTAACAGACCTGCTCATGTTTTGCCTTCAAAGTGGGCTTGCAAAAGATGAATGTTCAATACTTCGCAAATATATATGACATCTTTGAGTCAAAAGTATACAAATCAACATAAATACAAAATATTTCAATAATATCATTTGGTGAAAAAAATGATGAATGAAATAAATGATTTAGGGATGAAATTATTTGGGTACTATAATATGTGCAAAGAGCTTTTTTTTGCAAAATAAAGTCTTATAAATAAGACCCAAGGGAAAATTAGTTGAAGTATGAATGGATGAAAAAGTTAAAGTTATATACAGTAATACATTATTAATATATTAATTTTTTATTATTCTTTTGTGAGATGCTTTATTCAAACATTACAAGCAATTCAGATATTGCTAGAAAATTATATAAATATATATGATGTGCTTTTAGATAGGGGTTTATAAAATACGCAAATTAAGCAGTCGTTTTCAAAACTAAAAAAAACGATTTGATTAGTAATTATTTTTAATTCTTTCAATATTTGTCGGTAAAAGTAAAGAAAACATTAACGATCCTATTACATCTATATATATATTTACACATATGGGTCATTCTTTTACAAATCGTACAGATTTTCGAAAAAATAAAATGTTACGTTTTAGAATTGTCTGAATTTTTTTTTACAGATATTATACATAATATCATTAGACACGTATTCCAGGATTTTGCTGAACAAAATTTTTTTATGTAAATATTTACGATTGAAATATGAATTTTTTGCTCAATTTTTATGAACATTCTCTGCAGTAAGTATTTACAATCTTTCATTGTAACAGAGTATCCGACAAATAGTAAAAAGATTTTTGTTGCAGAGAAAAAAAGAAAAAAATGTGTTTTTTTTTTAATCAATTCAATTTGGGGTATGTAAAACCTTTGTAAATATTTAAGGGTTTTTATGTTAAGAAAATTCCAAAAACATTTTTTTAATCATTAAAAAGTTCTCTTCAATATGAGTGTAATAAAAAAAAAAAAATACTGATCCGATCAGAACTGGAGATAATTAATTTACCGCAGAGGATAGAAATTGAGCAAAAAATCCATATTTCAATCGTAAATATTTACATAAAAAAAAAAAATCAGCAAAATCCTGAACAACGTGTCAAGTGATTTTATGCATAATATCTGTAAAAAAAATTGCAGACAGTTCTAAAATGTCAAGGTCTAGATGGTGTACGGTTTGTAAAAGAATGACCCATATGAACCTGACAATTTTTACAACACTCTGTCCTACGTCGAATTAGGGGTTGACAATAAAATATCAATAAAAATTTCAAATGGGTTAAATATTATTATGAAAGATCATAATTCACTTTGTTGACTTGACTGTTGACGATAAATTAAATGAATTGGGTAAAGTTCTGTTTTCGTATTGATGTGCAGGGATGTTCCTATAATAACGAGTAGCCCGTCGGAGGATCACACGTACAGTAGCGTTGGCCTGGCATCGACGCCACAAAAACAACACACAGCCGCCCTAAACTCACCCGATGCCGCTTACGAAACTGATGACAGGTCTGTAACTGTTGTATTTTTAGAATTGCTAACATTGCTAGGGTCGACACATATAAAATCGTCTCGGCAACGTGATACATGTGTCGACCCTAACTATTAACAATACTCATGCTTCTTCTTCATACTCCTGGTATAATTCCTAATTTCCTTTGTCCTGGTTATAATCAGCATATGTAAATATTACCATTAGATACTTCATGTTTAATCTATAAGCCAATATATACACCTAAATTAGTTAACTCTTCATATAGCTCTACAAATTTATTTTGTTTTTTATTAAAAAAATAATTATAAGAAAACAGCAATCGTGACCTGTAACACTCAATTTTTCCTTTAGGGGGTTGAATTTAATGGAGTGTGTAACCATTTATATTTGATATAAATGACCAAGACAGACTATAGCACTTAAAAATATATATTAGATCTATATTTCAAGTATAAGTGTTATACGGGTTGTTATCTCGATATCGAGCTGAACTCAAGATAGAATATATGCAAGAAAAAAACATAAACTTATCGTGGCTTACATAAGATACCCACATCCCATTAATTTTATAAAATAAAAATAGCTTTTATATTTTAATACATTTGCGAATTGATATGTCTGTGGAGGTTCATCATTGGAGATCAAATTTCATAATTACGAATACACAACTTTTTAAAGTTAAAATTATTTCT